AATTGTCGGTCAGAACAATTATAAAAGGCAAAGAAAAAATTCTCGAAGCTGTGAAAAATGCTCAATCTTTAAATTCAAGCATCAATCATAAACGTCACAGTATTATCGCAGAGACGGAAACAATGTTAAAATTATGGCGTAATAATCAATGTGAAAAATTGTAAAATAATATAGGCCTAATTTGTTATACATATGTATTATCTAAGATTTTATTAAACATTTTTTTCTAAATTATTGTTTTCTTTAGTCTCCGGCCCCAATTAAAAAATATTTGTATGTATTTATATGCAAAATTATACCCCCACTTACGCGGTTACCGCTCAGTCCCACCTATCGCGTAAGTTCGGGGTATTACTGTATTTATTTCTAACCAAAACTTTCATTTTGTTTGTTAATGTTAGTGACTAACCATTTAGTTATGTCAGTTTTATTATTGCTTGAAATAGCAGGGTTATTCTCAAGCAGGTTACCTCTTATTAGAAGATCATCGGTGATTATATCAGATAGACATTCAGTGCTTCAAGCACTGCTAATGGTCAATCTCAAATTGGCACCAATCATAATAGATTTGGTAGCAACAATAGCTAACACAACAACACCTCTCATCATAGGGTGGAGCCCAGAGCATGCAAGGATCCCAGACAATGAGGTGGCAGATAACGCAGCAACAGGTACAATCATCGGCACCATAAGTTGCCCGCTACAGCTAAAAGACATTTCCCACGAGATAAGGCAGTCAACCATCGAACACTTAACTGATGCCTGGACGACAATTTTATGCAGGAAGGGAAGTGACCACCTTCACCCCTTTGATAACTGGGTCTACCAACATACTTTGTCCCGTCATCTGGAAACCCTGCTGGCACGATTCCATACAAACATGGTGCCACTGAACGCGTTCCTGCACCTTAGACGCTTAGCAATCTCACCAGTGTGTCCTAACTGCAACAAAGAGGAGACAACATGACACTTTTGGCTCGATTTCCCTCAATACAACAAACACTGATACAACCTTGGGAGGGTTCTGTCCCTAAACACCGATCTTACTCACTCATTAACCTCAATCTACTGGCCATCATCACTGACATCAGCTCGTCAGCATCTAGGTGCCTTGGAACAATACATCAGACACACGGGTCGCCTGAACTAAACACCAGGGGGTGGCGAATCAGAGAGCTTAGTCCAAGAGGCTGCAATCTCCAAATGAACCCTATGACAAGACAAGTGAACAGCTCGACCTGTGCAAACAGCTCAACGTTCAACTGGCAACAGTTACAATCAAGATTGTAGGTAAATCGAGATCAAAGTGAGTCGTGGTTTGTGTGTGAATGTAGTATAAGGGATCTCTACAATGACAATGCTATTAATTACTTCTGAAAAATCCTGAAGTAGAGAGAAAAGCAATCAACATTGGACAGATTCTTTAACACCCCACAAACAGAAAAAAACATGACTGATAAAAATGCAAGATAGTGTATATATGTATGTTTATTATTACATTTAAATGAACTTAGTAAAAGAGTATATAATTTTTTATTTATTTTTTGGGTCTCCAGAATGAATTAATCAAATTCCCATAAAAATCTATGGTAAATCAGTTAATGAACAATTCGGGTAGTGAACATGGTCTTGGAACAAATTATGTTCATTAACCGATCACCCACTGTATATACAAGGGTTGTTCAAGGTTAAATGAGACTTTTATTTCTACAAACCAAACAGAATGTCCAAAACATGTATAAATATGTCAATTTTTTGAAATAGTCTCCATCTGTATGTAGACACTGTTCCCAGTGGTAGGGTAGTGGGCTGACATCATAGCCAGCAAAGGACAACTTGCTGCAGTTCATCATCTGTCTAAAATTTTGTTCCTCCCAGGTGCTCTTTAAGGGGCCCAAACAAATGATAATCACTGGAAGCTAATCACTTTCAATATGAAACAATTCAGAAGCTGCTCACATGTCTCCTTGCATACCCATTTCTGATCATATGTCAGCTGTCAGGGAACCCATCTGGCACACATCTTGCAGAACAGTAATTGCTCATGGATAATTTTCTCAGCACTATCGACACTGATGGATACTTTGTCTGCAATGTGTCTCACAGTTACTCGCCAGTTCTCCAAGATAACTTGCTCAACTCGTGCGATATTCACTGGCGTTACTGCAGTTGGACAAACATGTCCATGTGCTTCATTTGTCACCAGCTCGCATCCTTCGCCAAATTGTTGACACCATTTGTACATTCTTGCCCGCGACAGCATTTGTTTCCCATTCTGTGCCCTCAATCTTCTCAAAATTTCAACAGGTTTAACCTTTTCTTTCACAAGAAATTTTATTACACACCACTGTTCCATCATTGCAGACACATTACCTTCTGATAAAACTACACATGCACAAAATACATCATGCTTGCTACCAAAATATTGGGATAGATAATGCTATTCCCTATTTGGGTTTTATTGTGCAACAGTTACTTTTTGAAATTATAGGCCCAAAAGTATCATTTAACCTTGAAAGACCCTTGTATTAATCTATAAAACTTTTGTAATATCAGTTAAATACTGATCAAACTTTCTTCTTTTCCTAATGTTACCAGTCATACAACTTAAAACCATAACAAACATTTAAAATTTAAAAAGACCCATTTATTTTCACTTATAAATGCATTTCAAATTCCACTACTGTGGTATCCCTCTTCAGTACAAATTAAAAACTAAAATTCTACAATTAGCAATGTTATAATTAAAAAGATTTATGGAATTCCAAAAAGTCTCAATGGGTTTTTAGTTATATTTTTTTTTTGGAAATTTTCAACTCTTATAAAATGGCGTATTCGAATTAACTTGCGGAAGCCATGAGGTAAAGTTTGATAAGAAATTTGTACAAATCATCGTCGTTAAGTAGGACATTAACGAGTCAAGTGGCAGAATAATGACGTGCATTTTCTTACGGAGGTTGAAAGTCGCCAAAATTCTTACTCTAACTTAACTAGTCAATTGAAGGAGGAGGGATGATTATGTAAATTGTTGGAACTCTTATAAAATTATTTAAAAGGATGTCAAATGTTTGTGTGTCTGTATCTATACTAATATTATAAAGAGGTAAAGTTTGTAAGTTTGGATGTAGAAAGTAATCTCCGAAACAACTCAACTGATTTCAAAAATTATTTCACCAATATTTAGAATGGACCTTCAGGGTAGATATAGGCTGTATATTATTCTGTTAAGCATTCATAAAAATTAAAAGATATCCTCTAGGTAAGCATTATATTTTTGTTGTCAGCGGGTGGCAAGGGGCAAGACGCGTACATATACAAGATAGGTAACCATGCGGTACAGTTGCATGGTCGGCGAGATACGCAGTGCACGTGTCTGAACTTGTATATTATATAGATTTCAAAATTCCCGTGTGGGGAAAGGGACAAAATTATGGCTTACCGTGAAGAACTCGGCTTCTATTATACTATTTTAGATGTGGTTTTTTGCATTTTTGATTGCATTTTAATAAGTACATCAAGAGAATGTACACTAAGAACAGATTTTTCGAAATTCCCTCCCATGGGGAGTGTTATACATTTATAATAGATACATTTTGAGCCACAGCAATGCGTGGCCGGGTAGAGCTAGTTAACTTATAAATGTATATAATTTTTATGGTTCTTTTCAGAATTCTGTAAATTATTTTACTTGTAACTTTATTTATTTGTACAATTTTAATTTTTAATTTGTAGTGAAGAGGAATACCACAGTAGTGGTATTTGAAATGCATTTACAAGTGAAAATAAAAGGATGTTTTTTAATTTTTAAATGTTTGTTATAGTCTTTTTTGAAATTGCATGACTTAAAATCAGGAAAAGAAGAAACTTTGACCAGTATTTAACTGATATTACAAAAATTTTTACAGATTAATTTTTAGTTTTCAAAATATTGAAATTTATGAATTATATAATATAAAGCATTAATTTAGTTCATATTCAGTATTTTAAAGTAGTTTAACAAAAGCCTTGAAAATTAAAAATAATCTATAAGGCATTATGATAATTTATGTATGATTTATAAAATTAAATAATTCATACAACTTCTATTGATTTTGTATTTGCTTCATCTCAGATAAACAAAAAAATTACAATTTTATGATTTAATTATAAAATGATGTGTATTGTTTCAAAAATAAATTTAATGTATGCATTATTTCTTTCTACTTATTAAGAAATATATATTTTATTTTACTAATAGTTTTTAAAAAAGCTACACTTTCTTATTTTCCTTTATCCTCTCTGCTTTATGATGACCCTTCACCTTACATTACAATTCATGCCTAACATATCACAAGACAAATAAAATAAATTCTTACAATGTTGTTATTATTTACAGAAATTTCACAAAAATAATTCAAATTAATTAAATTCAAAAATGTTCATTATACAAATAATTATAGAGACTTAAAGGATATTTCTCTACATAGAACTGCATACTGGAATGTTTTTATAAATTTTCTGTTATATGCAGTTTAACAAGTAATGAAAAAAAATACAGTTTAAAAATAAACTCTTTTTTTTAATTATTGTCATATCGATACATCAAGTTAGTAGGAAAATATAAATCCAACAGATATACAATATTAGTAACTGATAGCAATTTTATGTGATACTAGCTGCAAGGACCTGCTTTGCTGGGTTTTTATTTGTATGTAATATAGTTTTTTTTTATATATAAAGACTGTTTTTCTAAGTAATCTAGAATCTAGCTGCAAGGACCCGCTTCGCTAGGCAAAAAGTAATGATAGTGAAGATTAAGATAATTACATTATAGCCAATCTTACCCGTTTCACAGAATGCAAGAATTAGGTCCCCCGTTTCCAGACTAATTAGAAAATTTTTACATAAGTCTAAAAATATGTTCGATTTCCCGCAAAAACACAAAAAACCATCTGTAAATCTTGCATGACGCTTTATATTAACACTTCCTTTGTTACTCAACACTTCCATTGTTAACACTTCCACTGTTAACACTTCTATTGTTGACACTTCCATTGTTACACATCTTCAAAGTCAACCACTTTCAACGCCATATCTCTCACACCCTTATAGCACAGAATGCAAGAATTAGGTCCCCCATTTCCAGACTAATTAGAGAATTTTTACATCCAGTTAAATAAACTATTTTCAATTTGATCAATTTTCTGGAACGTTTACAATCGCTCTATAATCAAACCAATTTGAATTTAAATTCAAATTCGAATACAAACTCGAATTTAAAACGGTTCGATCATTTTTAAAATCAAAATAGAAAATGTTCGAAGTCAACCACTTTAAGCCCCCATATCTCCTGCACCCTTATAGCTATCAAGATGCAACCACCATAGTGCACGAATGGAGACTTGGGGCTACTACCACATATAAACACCATTCATGTGCAATGTGTAGTTTTGGCTGAACAGTGAAATATAAGAACACACACGTCCATTTTTATACACATATATATAGATTAAGTACTTACCACACCAGCACTATTGACAAAATAGTCACAATTAATGAGTCCTTTATTAGTTTCGACTCCACTCACGCAATGTCGCTCGTTAGTGATGACTCGTTGTACGCTACAACCTTCTACGATTGTTGCACCTAAAATAAATATTTTAATATTAGTCAAGTTATGGTGAAATTTAAGCAATATAGCTTAAATGTTTATTTACCTTTTTTGGATGCTTCGCTAGCAAAAATATTACAGATATTAATAGGATCTCCAACGCCATCGCTAGGAATCCAAAGAGCACCCTGTATAAATTTATTTTCTAAATTAAGACAATAAAATTTCAAATTATATACAGTAATGTAATATTAAAAATTTTAGTTGTAAATATTGAGATATAAAATAGAATATTCAGGTAAAGAATAATAGTTAATTGAAATTTTGTTGTAGCTTGTAGAAAAATATATCTTAAGTTACTCATTGTAATTTCCAAAAAGTATGAATAAAACAACAATAAATAACAGAAAGTTGTTTTGTTAATTGATGAAGTGGAGAATACAATAAAAACCATGTACTAAAATATATAATTATATACTGGGTGACATAATTAAAGTTGTCATATTCAGAGGATTCTGTAGTGAACATATATTTAGTGAATCTGGGTATATTTAGAATGACTGATGAAACTATTTACTTCCTATTAATGCAGAAGCATAACCATTTTTTCATTACAAATTACTACTCTTAAATTATGATTTTTAATAAATAATATTTAGGTAAATCATTGCTTAAAGTTATAATTGTTTCAGAAAGGAATAAATAATATTTTCAAAATTCAACTTTTTAAATTTTTCATTTCATTAATTTTTATATTCCGTATTTCTTTCATTTCTTCTCTTTCTCTCTCTGTCTTTTGACTAAAATGAGATTATTTGGTTGAATGAGCTGTGAGGAAGTATTTGATCCAAATATTGAATATAGATGCTTAGTAAATAAACATCATCACTATAACCCAATGCATTATAAAACTACAAGCCAACCAATGCCGTATGTCATCTGGCTAGAAGATGGCAATAATACTAATAAATTATGAAACAATTTGGTACTAAATACTAATAAATATGTTTCATAATTTATTAGTATTTTGGGGTTCGATCCCCTATGTGAATTGCTTGATATTGTTGAAAATACGTTAGTCGGAATATAACACAGTAGACTCTCGTCTTCAATTTTATTAAAAAATAATCTCCATCTGATGAAAATTTACAGCTTATGATTTATTGAAATTAATAAATAATCAACACAAAAAAACCTTTTTAATATCCCATTATGAACAAATTTAGACAAAACGAACATTTTCTACCATAAACTTGGTCTTCATCAGGCTGATGGCCAGTATAAATTCCTCTCAGAGACCACAGATTCCAGTGAGATCTAGTTTACATCGGATCCACAAAGTGCTCTTTAAATAAAAGGTTACCAGAACACGGATATGATATCATCAACCAGAGACATACCACCATCCTAGCAGCTTATGCTACTGATCCTGAAATACAAGCCGACCTACATAAGGCCAAATTGGTAAAAATGTCTGATCAAGTTCAACACCTTTGCAACCTGTAAGCATTAGAAATATACAAAGCAAGCCTGTCTGGCAACTGCATTAATGCAAAGGATGCAGCTAGTATTTCATATGCATAGAGGTGGTGCTATGAAAAAAGTAACTAAAATAACACTAACTAGTAGATAACGTTTCTACACCAGAATTTGCATCTTATTATTTATGTGTATGGATGTAAAGATATTTTTATCACTTTATTAACATGTATGGTAAAAAACGTTTTCCAAAATTTAAATATTTTGGAATTTAAAAATAATTTATATACACTGTGTTCGAATTTCCGGTTTCAAATTTATACTGGCCATTAGCCTGATGAAGACCAAGTTTATGGTTGAAAACATTCATTTTGTTTAAATTTGTTCATACTGGGATATTAAAAACGTTTTTTTGTGTTGATTTATCTTCTCAGGAGTTGTGTGAGAAGTTTTTTTAATAAATAATGTATTAAAATAAGAGTATCTGTATTTCTTTCAGAATAAACACTTTCAGGCCTTCATTAATCAAAACACAATTGATATTGAAAAAGAAAACATCTTAGATGTAAAAAAATTGTGCCAAGTAATAACTTATAACAATTTAGATGACAGTCAAAAGTTTTCTTAGGAGTTTTTCTTTGGTAAAGATAAGCTTGGCACTTCAAAGCAGTAACCACAAGAACCACCTACGCAACCGACCCGGATATTCACGCGGAGCTATCAAAAGCCAGATTAATAAATAGAGCTTTTCATACGGATCACATCAGAGCACTTGAAGCCCTAGAAATCTACAAAGCAGGCAGGACAGGGAGATGTATAAACAACAAAGACGGAAACACGCTTTCTTATGCTTGGCGTTACGTATGCGAAGAACAACAAAAACGATGACGATACGTAACACGCGCAAGAAATTCGATTATATTTAAAACTAAACGTGCATTCGAAGAATGAAATCCAATAATTTAACCTGAAGCAGACCTCGACTGAGGCCGAAAACGTTTGTTTTACAAATAATTTACAAGTACCGGACAATAAAGGTTGAGTAAGTACGATTTTTATAAGAATACCGGTATTCGGATTAGAAGATTTTTAATTTACAAAGCTATGCCGGCTAACGCATACAAAAGACTGGTGCTAACCCTAACTAGGGCTAGAGCAAAATTGGATTTCTTATTAGAATGTCAGAGAAAAAGGGTCTTCCC